CTCTTGGACTTTGAATCATCCGACTGACGGTATAAGCAATGTTGCTGAATCATTCAAAAGACCTAAGCATTATGAGTAAGCTAGTATTCGGACATATTTATTCGATATGTTGTTAAGGCATCTGAACATTCAAGATATTGAGTCAACTACAGTTTCAAACGGCGTGTTGCTAAGTCATACCAAAATTATAGGATAGTGACCTAGCATCTGGACAAATTTACTCTAATATATTTGAATAACCTAGCAACCACCTAGCAACATGTCCTTCAACTTCAGTTACCATAATCTACCGGGAAAACGTAGAGACATGTCTCAATCATACCAACATCAGTCAGTCAGCCAATCAATCAATCAAACAATAAGTTCACCTATTCTGTCAGATAATGAATTTTAGCCTGTCCTCTGACAGACAGCACTTTCACACAAAAATAAATACCATTGAATGACTCATTCTAACTCAACATTAGCAACACACAAACAAAATCATACCTAGATGTTCTTTCTCATTTCTAAATATCTCGACAGTTGCACACTTAATCTCTTCGTCAAAGGATGAGTCATCTACAAGGCTACTTTATGTGCTTCCTTGTCTACTCATTCACTCACTCACTTATTTGCTTGCTTGCTTAACAGATAGGGTGCATGTCAGATGATTGACCATCATCCTAAATTCTATTTGAAAAATATGATGTATTTGAGCAATACATTTCAAACAATCTGGTCCCCTGCACATTTACTTGTCAAGTCAATATTTTTACAATATTAAAAATAAAGACCGATTAGAATACACACATAAAACAAAAAGGATTTAAGAATAGATAAGAATAATTAACGACACTAGGTTTGGTTATCTATCCATCTATCTATCTAATCAGATAAGGATTACCAAAATAGGTTGAGAATAATAAAATATTATTTCTGTAGACACAGTTGGCATGCGTAAGTGGTTTGGCAATTGAACCACCAAGCTCATACCATACACATTTCAATCTGTGGTCTTGCAGTTTCCATATACTTTATTTGAATGGCCTAGCTATTCATAAATTTAAGCGCCTCACTGTGTGTTCGAAAACAATTTATTATTACTCTTAACATACCTTGGTGGTAATTCTATTATGGATCAAATTTTATTCTGATCAAGTCACGCAGTATTGCGCAGTAACATTTACTGATGACCACCTTCTTTTGAGCACAATTTTCACTATTGCTCATAATCATATCAAGACACTACCCACACAATTCTCTTGGTTCACACTTATAAACATGAGTAAAAATTGATGATTAGACAGTTGAATAAAATCAATGTAAGATAAAGTACATTCGGAAACAGTATTAGTTTTCAAGAGTTCGGTTCGGTTTGTAAGCATTAGATTTGTTTATATTTTGATAGAGTATTTTCAATTCTGAAACACTCTCTCCACTGGATTTGACTTTCACACATCAGAAAACAGTTCACCAAGACAACTTATGCTGAATCACAATTTGAGAATTCATATATACATTCAACCAACTGGCAGATCATAAGAGAACATAATCAGTCAGGATAGATAGGCTTGGTTGGTGTCTTCAAAGCTAAACTGGTTGACATTGCTGCTGTATGCTGTAGGCTGCCTGAAAACACTAGAAAGCACTTAAACATCTCAAAAATACTCACCAAATAGTAGTTATATTACAATCGAATAAAGGTTTGACACTTGTTCTAACCAATAAAGAAGACTACATATTGACGAGATGAACTTAATCCTACAAAATCCGGAAAAATTGATTGATTCAGTTTTAACATAGAAAATAACGCATAAATGCAACATTTTGAAATTTCCACACTCAACTCCGTGTAGCGCACACAAAAGTAGACAAAAGAGACTACAATAAGCAGAAATCTACGAGAGAAAGAATAGCGACATGGATAAATCACTAGGGTATTTCGGATATGCGAGATGGCAAACAGTGAATACACTTTCGCAACACTCAGAACGATTTTAAGCCAAATCTCCAAAGGTCACTAACCATTGACTCTTAACACTCCGAGGTCTCAAGTGAAACAGTCTACACATCACTCTATATGGCTGGCTAAAAGTAATAGTCAAAAACGTCGAGGACTACGTAGTCAGGTGTCGACTCAACCAACCGACCAACCAAAACTCTTTTCCAACTTAAACTGATGTCAGCTGACATTCCCCCTCGATGAGGAAGGCGACGGTTCATCATGCCCAATACATGACCTAGCCATCTAAATCGACATAACTTCACAACCTCATCGATGAGCTTACCCCTCTTGCCTAACACTCTACGATTAATCTCATTAGTATTCACCATATTATACCACCTAACATGAGAAGTAGAATGCAAACACTTGTGGTGGTTGTGGGTCAGTCATAGACAGCTAGCCTTTCTTTTCATATGTCCCACTCTCAATAGTCACAATGTCCCAAAGACATAGAGGAGGAGACAGCGAAGTGCTGCGCAGTATACGTATATTTTCATCGATGGACAGATATCACGCAAGTTAGACTATCCCACACCAGTCCTTTGTATCCCTACCCGGATTTCGTCAGCAATCAGTCCGTTCAGGCTGATACACCACCTCAAATAAGTCGTTCAGTGGCCAAAATGCTGTACTACTGCACTCCCAATATTTAAGCTTGGAGTAGGTGTAGTGCAGTCCTGCAGAATCGAATTACCATATCAAAGGAGGGAATCACACGCCAAATATTCAAAGATTTCTGTCCACAAGACCCTGCATTTTGTCAGTCTTCACAATATCATCCCCGTACAAAAACAGGGAAGGTGAGCACTCCTAAAGGCAACCACCGACAGTCGTCGCTTCACATGAAAATTCCTCCCTCCCCTCCCCGACCCACAAGAACTGACACCGCTGAGTCAATTCGAATACAGTGCCTCGATCAGTGAGATATACTTCCTGGGAACTCCTTCATTTCAAATGTGTATATGATGATGAATTGGATTGGACATTCGCTGTCCTAAATTCAGACGAAAGCAGTCATAATTCTTCAACACCTCCAATTTCTGATACAGCCTCCGACCACTAATTGGTCCTCAGGAGGATAACATCACAGTGGAGAAAATACTACAATTATGCAAATAAATTAACTGTGATGATACTCATTCATGTCTAACCAAGCAGAGATTCAATATTCACTTCCAGGTAAAATCAAAATCCAGGGCAGTCTTCAGTGTTTCTGATTAGTAGGTCTAGAATGAACAACTATGTTGACGTATCCCCCCTGTATGATAATCCAGTCCGAATTCACTGCCTCACGGATAACGTTTATATTTCGAAAAATTAACCATATACCAATAAAAAATGCAACAACATTACCTCTAATCTACACAAGGGTGAAATGTATGCCATACAGGTCACGCTGGACGTGACATCAGTGACAAATATGGACAACAACAAAAAAAACTAAGTTCAATTCACTATCCAGTGAATGAGGAAGTGAGATAACAAGAATAAAAAGTGGCCAACCGAATCTCATTACCAAAAAGGAGGAACAAAGAAAATAATAGGCTGTTCAATTCCAAAAATTCTTCAACTGAATGTCACTTACAATCCATCCAGAAATACCATCAACAACCAAAGAACAACTGGCCAGTGCATACCAGTCGTCCAACGAATGCAGAAGTCTCCGATGTAATCAGGCTACTAAAAGTGGAGAATGCAACAGGATCACGCGGAATTCTCTTATGAGGTATTGGAAACAGATCACGAGACTACAACTGATATCCTCACGACACTAATGCAAAATGCTTACAAGGAAGAAATAAATGTACCGATCGATTGCATGAAAAACTACATTGTTAAATTACCAAAGAAGGGTAAATTACTCCTCTGCAAGAACTAGCGTAGAATCACGCTGTTCTCCACAGCAAAAGAAATATTAGGTCACGTCATCCTAGAGAGACGACAAGATGCACTAGAGAGGTGCACACGGAAAGAAAATCATGTGCTGAAAAAATTGCAGCCTTACGAATATTCATCGAACTCAAGATAGAACCACAGTCAAATCTCTACATCGACTTCGTCAACTTTTAAGAGGCCTTCGACAGCGTTGACTACGAAGTGATATGGAAACTATCATCGATGATATTCCTACTTGTTTTGGATTGGGTTATGCGGGAGACTCTCAGAAAGTGGCAGACACGAGTACGTTAGACCCAAAAGACTCTATAAGATGTGGACTTCATGTGATATTTATGTCTGTCAAATAAATTCGAAGACCTACAGGCGGGAACCGACGAACTCGCAGAAGATACTGATTACAAATACAAGAATTCAGATGAAGACTGAGAAGCCGGAGGCGGAGGTGGAGATAACAAACCACCGACAACAAGCACCAAACACTATCAATGAAAGAAATTTGAAAGACATCACTTCCTTTACCTATCTAGAAAGTATCTTTTCGACTACTAGTCGAGTCACGATTGAATCAAGAAAAGCCTTCATCAATCTGAAATCAGTTTAGAAATCTTCTGCACTCAACAGAACAAAAACAAAATCCCGATTTCCACAACCGATGTTAAGTCATTCCTTCTAAATTGATCAGAAACTTGACTCACTCCTGACGAAAAGCATTTCCACAACAGGACACTAAAGAAGTTTATCAACAGCTACCTTCTCTGGCTCCAGACCCTAGATCAGACACGCCTGGAGAGAAAGAATCAAGAACCCATTGGTCAACAAATATGCAGAAAATGGAAGTGGATCTGACACTCTGAGGAGACCATCGGTAGAATTGAAAACGACAACTTGGACGTTCGACAGCGACATGGAGGAGACCGCGTGCGGAGGAAATGATAGACTTATAAGTAATATTGAGACCGCGTAATGAGGACTGCAGAAAACACGACAAAATGGAAATGACCCATTGAAGTTCTATGCAATCAAGGGAATAACAATGTAATATTGTTTTGCTAAAATCAGTTGGTTTAAACACATACAAAAACACTAACAACAACAACAACAAACAATTTAACACTTACATATTTATTTCCTCTGATTTTAGATTCCCTTGCAACCGTACATCACTGTCAGTAAGACTGTGACCGTTGCTGCTCTGGTTAGCTTTAACAGTACCATTTTTATTCTCACTGCGTCTATCTGCAATTTCTTCATGTACTATAATTACGTCGTCATCACTCTCTTCTTCTCCGTTAGACTTCAAAAGGAAAAAAATCAACGAATTATACAATGCAGCCTTAAGTTGTAAAACGGATTTTGATCAAGATGTTGACTGACCGACTGACTGTATTCAATCACATCACAATTCATAAGATTCAAGTATTCTAACAGTACACCTTCTATACTAACAACTTGAAGATAGTCAAGAAACTCTTACTATAGTTTTACTGGACACTAGTATCGATAAGTCAAGTTTGTAATGTGGCCACCATTCTAGGTAGGCAGTTCACCATCACAGTGCACATTGATTTAACGATATAGGATGGTTGGAGGAAATTGGCAGTCAATAGTGTAGTGTCCAATCAAACAATCCACTACAGTCCTACAGGAAGGCAATCGACAGCCTGAATGGCTCACTGGTGTCGTCTCTGACCGCAGTATTCACTGGGTGACGCGGCTTTGAATCTCAGCAGCATCCCGAGTCCCTTCAAGGTGACAAACGCGCCTTGCTGACGAGTGCCAACTAGCCAGAGGCTTCCAATGATTCCTGCTGATTGCTGCCAGCCATCTAATATCATCAAACTCTCACTATTTTATTCTTTAATCACACTTGCTGAAATCACACAACACAACACTGAACAATTATATAGTCACTTTTTGTCCAAAACTCTAATCAAATCATTATGAGTATTCCTCATCAGATGGAATGCATTTAAATGCATAACAGAAAGTCTGAGAGGTCACGGTAATATAAAGAAAGCAAAATACTCACAGATACAGTCCCACACGAAAATGGTGACACCAGATTAAAAACGACAACATTGAAAACCAAAAACCATGTAGGTATCACGAGCACAACTTACATGCATGATGTATTCGCCATTCAGATTAACTGGTACTAATATTCTTTCCATTGATCCAACCTGTGTGAAGAAGATGAGGAGAACATTTCAGTGAAGTGTAAACAAGGAACACATGTATCAGTGGAGACAGTCAATTTATAAATTAATTTCAAGTACTGGTTCTATCCCGAATACATTCCGGTTGGTCGGTTGGAGCATTTCATCATCATCATCATCAGTTGACATGAAGTAGAGAAGCATTGGAGAACCTGGGAGTACTGGACGGCTGCCGAAGAGTCCCGAAATGGGACAAAACAGCTGTCTCACACTTCCATCTGTCGGTTTCCCAATGGCTGCCTAACCGACATCACCTCATGATGAAATCCACCAACCAATCAATTAATTAATTAATTAATTCACTGTTATCACTCTTCTATATTCCTTGTGTACACATTCTCATTACATTTACATCTGTCAAGTCTACACTCCACTACCAGCTTACCTCTTCTCATCGAATAACAACCTTTCACCTTATCTAATCACAAACCTGTTCTTCCATTGTGTCATTCAGGTATTATCTTGTTTTTTTCTCACTTTGATCTATTTTAGAAACTACTTTCGAATGAGCTTCGAGCTAATCGTGGGGCCAGTTAACCATGAAGACCGAAGAGAGCAGGACACATATGGAGATGTACTTCTGAGGACCCGTACTCACCACGGGACGAAACGGAATCAAAAGAATAACAATTGTGAATGTGTAAAATATCAGTTAACGACAGGTGTGACCTAATCTGAACAACCTCCCTACCACGGAAACCCTACCCATTCATACCTCCAAATGTATAGCGAAAAAATTATATCACTCAACAAATACCATGGGGCATGACTCAGAGGTAGGTCAATTACACACACACACACTCACACACAACAAACACCAGTAGATCCGCTCCAATTACATTACTGTCATATAAAAAAAGGAAGTGTCGTTCAACTACAGAAATATACCCAGCGTAGTTAGTGATCTAGTCGGGTCGTGAAATAATGGCAATGAAAAAGTGAAAACACAAAATGCAAACGCTCACTTGCAACTGGATAAACACTCCACAGTAGATTGATTAGTCCTGTGATCTAAATTTGATTTTTTAATTAGTAATTTTTTCTATATTCATATATCTATATACATTTAATGTTTCATTTATGGCATTCTGTCTTACTATTGGTCAGTTCAAGCTAATGATCATGTCACCCAATCCGACTACCTCCCCCATCATGCATACTATTTTACACTAGCCAATCACAGGATAGATTGCACAACCTTCAAATGACTAGGCCATTTTCTTTTGACACGGCTTCTCACAATCATCGATTACAAAAGTCAGTCTGACCGGTCAACAACCCCTTGAATAATAGGTGCTGCTCGTTTTGTTCTAACTCTTATAATAAAGTATATTATTAATTTCAAATAGCTAGTTATGTTTTTATTTGAATAAGGCATCAAGAAGACAAATTTCGCGAGATGATGTCATTTCGTAGTTTCTTCACAACCGCTTTACAACTAACATCTCGCGAAATTTGGCTTCTTAATGCCTTATTCAAATTTATCAAAGGGACTAATTGTTTTAACTATATTTTTATGGTTATATTTTTATATAGAATAACAGAGGAGTCCCAAACTAGGACGAAACAGCTGTCCAGTACTCCCAGGTTTTCCAGTGGTTCTCTAACTGATGTCAGCTCATGATTAAATCCTCCATACAATCAAACCAAATCCCTACAAAACCAACATCTGAAAATAACAGATAAGTTATGGGATGACCAAAAGTACTGGGCTGAATGCAACCACAAAAAATTCTGGTATCCTGGTGACATACATACATAAATAAAAAATATCCTCCAACCAATAATTGAGTGGCTAGTACAAAATAAAATGCACTAAAAAGAAGATAATAAGACTGAGATGAGTAGTTCAACACACCAAGATATCATGACCAGTTAGTTATGCAGTAGATACACCTCTACGTAGAATAACAACAGATTAGTTACGGGCTGACAGAATGAATTAATAAATAAATAAACAGTATTTGTGTGACAAACGCGTCAGATTGAATTCAGTCACCAAATATTGTGAAACGAGGGGCGAGAGGTAATGGTGATGACTAATCATAATACATCACCACACTATGGTGTAGGGAAATTTGAAGTCAGTCAGTCAGCTTATAGAAAGTGTCATGTTGGCACAAATCGGTGTGTATTAAAAGGGGAACCGTATTAAGAAAGCTACAGATCATAGCTCGAAATACCAACTTCCTTAGCTTCTTACCTATAAAATAGATACACAATCCGATCTAGTGTTTAGCATTTTGAGAGAGAGGTCGGTTTGCTCTCAGGATTGTGTGGAGAAAGAACTCCGAGTCATCCAGGATATTCTACGCTTGAAGATTATGGAAGTGAACATAGTTTACAATAATCATAAACATGCACCGGTAATGAGGGAGAAAGTTTTTGTTTTTCGTCAACAATTCACAGGAGATACTCCTGTGGAAGTTCTATAACAACGTTTAACCAGAACGATAAAGAGATCTTACTACTGCGTACATATGTTTCTATCCTCCATTAGTCGTCCAATGTCCATTCAGAGACTGATTGATATCTTCCCTAACCTAAGACAAGTGTATAAAAAGTCCTATTCTGTCACACTTGGTCGATACTGGACGTGACATCGACGCCAACACAGCCTTCAGAATTATATGCTGAATTCTGAAGGCGCTATCACACACAATTCGCCTTCGATTCTTATACATAGCTGAAGCTATGACAATAAGATCGACTAAACCGTACCTGTGTATCCAGAAAGAACACCTTCAAGCGCAGTTCCTACCATAGCCGGACTTGGAATGAAGTCCCTTCTTTTTCCTCTCTTCAAGTCTTCCTCTTCCACTTATCCTTTTTTCTTACCTCTTCAGCTAAAAATTCAACTTTTACAAGATGATCTGTACAAGGTGCTACCTCATCTTCTCAGGTTGGTGCGTCTTCAGTTGCAAAGCACAGATAGCTAAGACAGTTGCCATTAGGATTTTCCAACCCTTCGCTCAACAACTTAGAATAGTTATCTCCCCCAGTGACACCGGATAACACTAAATATTATCTTATAATATTTGCAATGCTAACCGCATTATCAATATCATGCTGTGCTGTATTATTATTATTGTATCCTTTAGTTCCTAGAGGAACATAGGGCTTCAGCTGCGCACCTCCATTGACTTCGGTTTTCTGACAACTTTTTCACCCTGCTCCAAGTCTGCCCACATGCTTTCATCTCCTCTTCACATGACCTCCTCCAAGTCACCCTTGGACGACCAACTCGCCGCCTCCCTTTCGGGTTCCACTCGAGGGCTTGTCTAGTGATGTCACTTGATGGTTTCCTCAGCGTATGGCCAATCCATCTCCATTTCTTTCTGCCTATTTGTTTCACAATCGGTTCCTGATTGGTTCGCTGCCAGAGATCCCTGTTGCTGATCTTTTCTGGCCATCTGATCTTGAGTATTGAGCGGAGACAGTTGTTAATGAAGGTTTGAAGTTTGTTTGAGATGCTCTTTATGACTCGCCAAGTCTCTGATCCGTATAGTAGCACTGACTTCACATTGGAGTTGAAAATCCGGATCTTATTTTTGATGCTGATTGCTGTTGACCTCCACACAGATTTGAGAGTAATGAAAGCTTGTCTTGCTTTTCCGATTCTGGCTTTGATGTCTTCGTCAGTTCCGCCTGTAGTTGAGACGATGCTTCCCAGGTAGGTGAAGGAGGTTGTTTCTTTCAGGTTCTTCCCATTTATGCTTATTGTGGTCTGTTGTTGCTGTTGATGTTGGCAAGGAATCTTCATCATCTCTGTTTTATCTATGTTCACGTGAAGTCCTATCTTTGATGCTTCTTCTGCCAACTTGTTACTTTTCACTTGCATATCTTCCAGTTTGTGGGAAATCAGACATATATCATCGGCGAAATCCAGATCCTCCAAGTCTTTTGTGTCAGTCCATTTTATGCCTGTTCCCTTGTTGGTTGCCGTTGTCTGTCGCATTATCCAATCAATTGCAATCAGGAAGATCATTGGTGATAGTAGACAGCCTGTAGTTGCACATTTTATTCTCGCCTTCATAATTTATCATCATCATGGTTATAATATTATCTAATTGTTATGTGACAGTAGTTATTTTCCCCTCTACCCCTAGTATTATGCATACCGTTTATATACACTCACCGCTGCCTAGATTATATAAACACTTATTAGTACTATTATGATCACTTCGATTGTTATCCATTAATTCACACCTCTGGTCCTAAATTTTATTGGCCACACTAATTCAAATGCCCATGACTAATATTTCATCATTATACAAGTGCAATGCCTGATGAGAATTTACCGAAAATACCTATTTGCTGGCTTAAATCGTGTTCTATAAGAATATTACCAATATTACACTGTATAATTGTGATAACCTCAAGAGGAATTCTCAAATAGACCATTCCTCGTTCAAATTGAGATACTTATTTACTCATCTGGACAATCAATCACACTGGGAAACAAACAATACTCACTCACTCACTCACTCAGTGTGAGTGTTACTCACCAGATTATTGGACTACTATACCAACTTACAATCCAGAACAATACAATACCACAATTACAACGATCCTATACTTTAGATAGGCTTGTAACCACCACCACATGAGTTTCTACCCTTCCAAATGCAAATCCATCTGTGAAGACTCGACTATTTGCTAAAGCATACACTTCAAATTGATTGTACACAACAACATCTTCCTAAGTCATCTGCATTCTCAAAAGGCATAGGAGAATTATCAGCGAACCAGTAGTATTTCGACACACTCATTCTCTACTGCAGTCTACTAACGCGTTGGTCGGTTAATTTCCCTCGACAATTCAAAGAGGAGAAAAGTGTTCCTATCGACGTAGTCATCTGAGAAAGTCTGCACAATCGCATTTATATTTACCAACATCCATCCGTATAACAGACTTTCTATCATCAAGTAATACAGGTGGTGTGGAGTGAAAGCAATCATATAATTCATATTATTACACCAAAGTAACATCCAAATGAATAGTTAAAATTTATAAATAACCTTACAATAAACGGGACAACCGATAAGAAAAACGTCTTGACATTTGATTATAAGGTGAAAATTGTTATTCGATGAGAAGTAAGGCGGTAGCTCGGGGAGGAGGAGAACAATTCAGTGAAGTGTAAACAAGGAACACATGAATGAGTGGAGACAGTCAATTTATAAATTACTTTTAAGTACTGGTTCTATCCCGAATCCTTTTCGATTGGTCGGTTGGAGCATTTCATCATCATCAACATCAGTTGACATGAAGTAGAGAAGCATTGGAGAACCTGGGAGTACTGGACGGCTGCCGAAGAGTCCCGAAATGGGACGAAACAGCTGTCTCGCAGTACTACCTGTCGAATTTTCAATGGTCCTCTAACTGATGTCAGCTCATGATGAAATCCGCCAACCAGCCAATTAATTGATTATAAAAACAGAAGTGAACGAACAATTTGGAAGATTCCTAATTGTTAGTTAGTTAGATCTACGTCAAAAACCAATACCACAGATTATTGAAACCCGACAGGAGGTACTGGATAGTCGTTTCTGTCATCCTAATATGATACTATTCAGTAGTGCGAACTCACGACTGTTTGAAGGACCGAGCCATGAACCTTCACGTTAGGAGTCCAAGCAGGTTTACAAAACAGCTGTCCAACACTCCCTACCTTTCAATAACCCCTCAAATCATGTTTGTTCCTGATACGAATATAAGAATTGAAATTAATCCTAAAGCAACTAAGAACGAAGAACCAAACACTAGAATAGAATAAGAGACTCAACAAACTCTTTTAGCATTCAGGCTTCGGCGTTAACTTGATAAATCGGGAGCGTCTTCGCCATATATAAAATACACATTAAACTCTTCTTAAGCAACTTTGTGGCCTCAATCACAATATAGAGATAAATTCATCCGAATCTCTTATTCGTCCGTGGTCTTCACCTCACTCGCAGTCGCCTCCAAGTCCGCACTGTGTGAAGTCCCAAATTGGGACAAAACAGCTGTCTCACACTTCCATCTGTCGGTTTCCCAATGGCTGCCTAACCGACATCACCTCATGATGAAATCCACCAACCAATCAATTAATTAATTAATTAATTCACTGTTATCACTCTTCTATATTCCTTGTGTACACATTCTCATTACATTTACATCTGTCAAGTCTACACTCCACTACCAGCTTACCTCTTCTCATCGAATAACAACCTTTCACCTTATCTAATCACAAACCTGTTCTTCCATTGTGTCATTCAGGTATTATCTTGTTTTTTTCTCACTTTGATCTATTTTAGAAACTACTTTCGAATGAGCTTCGAGCTAATCGTGGGGCCAGTTAACCATGAAGACCGAAGAGAGCAGGACACATATGGAGATGTACTTCTGAGGACCCGTACTCACCACGGAACGAAACGGAATCAAAAGAATAACAATTGTGAATGTGTAAAATATCAGTTAACGACAGGTGTGACCTAATCTGAACAACCTCCCTACCACGGAAACCCTACCCATTCATACCTCCAAATGTATAGCGAAAAAATTATATCACTCACCAAATACCATGGGGCATGACTCAGAGGTAGGTCAATTACACACACACACAACAAACTCCAGTAGATCCGCTCCAATTACATTACTGTCATATAAAAAAAGGAAGTGTCATTCAACTACAGAAATATACCCAGCGTAGTTAGTGATCTAGTCGGGTCGTGAAATAATGGCAATGAAAAAGTGAAAACACAAAATGCAAACGCTCACTTGCAACTGGATAAACACTCCACAGTAGATTGATTAGTCCTGTGATCTAAATTTGATTTTTTAATTAGTAATTTTTTCTATATTCATATATCTATATACATTTAATGTTTCATTTATGGCATTCTGTCTTACTATTGGTCAGTTCAAGCTAATGATCATGTCACCCAATCCGACTACCTCCCCCATCATGCATACTATTTTACACTAGCCAATCACAGGATAGATTGCACAACCTTCAAATGACTAGGCCATTTTCTTTTGACACGGCTTCTCACAATCATCGATTACAAAAGTCAGTCTGACCGGTCAACAACCCCTTGAATAATAGGTGCTGCTCGTTTTGTTCTAACTCTTATAATAAAGTATATTATTAATTTCAAATAGCTAGTTATGTTTTTATTTGAATAAGGCATCAAGAAGACAAATTTCGCGAGATGATGTCATTTCGTAGTTTCTTCACAACCGCTTTACAACTAACATCTCGCGAAATTTGGCTTCTTAATGCCTTATTCAAATTTATCAAAGGGACTAATTGTTTTAACTATATTTTTATGGTTATATTTTTATATAGAATAACAGAGGAGTCCCAAACTAGGACGAAACAGCTGTCCAGTACTCCCAGGTTTTCCAGTGGTTCTCTAACTGATGTCAGCTCATGATTAAATCCTCCATACAATCAAACCAAATCCCTACAAAACCAACATCTGAAAATAACAGATAAGTTATGGGATGACCAAAAGTACTGGGCTGAATGCAACCACAAAAAATTCTGGTATCCTGGTGACATACATACATAAATAAAAAATATCCTCCAACCAATAATTGAGTGGCTAGTACAAAATAAAATGCACTAAAAAGAAGATAATAAGACTGAGATGAGTAGTTCAACACACCAAGATATCATGACCAGTTAGTTATGCAGTAGATACACCTCTACGTAGAATAACAACAGATTAGTTACGGGCTGACAGAATGAATTAATAAATAAATAAACAGTATTTGTGTGACAAACGCGTCAGATTGAATTCAGTCACCAAATATTGTGAAACGAGGGGCGAGAGGTAATGGTGATGACTAATCATAATACATCACCACACTATGGTGTAGGGAAATTTGAAGTCAGTCAGTCAGCTTATAGAAAGTGTCATGTTGGCACAAATCGGTGTGTATTAAAAGGGGAACCGTATTAAGAAAGCTACAGATCATAGCTCGAAATACCAACTTCCTTAGCTTCTTACCTATAAAATAGATACACAATCCGATCTAGTGTTTAGCATTTTGAGAGAGAGGTCGGTTTGCTCTCAGGATTGTGTGGAGAAAGAACTCCGAGTCATCCAGGATATTCTACGCTTGAAGATTATGGAAGTGAACATAGTTTACAATAATCATAAACATGCACCGGTAATGAGGGAGAAAGTTTTTGTTTTTCGTCAACAATTCACAGGAGATACTCCTGTGGAAGTTCTATAACAACGTTTAACCAGAACGATAAAGAGATCTTACTACTGCGTACATATGTTTCTATCCTCCATTAGTCGTCCAATGTCCATTCAGAGACTGATTGATATCTTCCCTAACCTAAGACAAGTGTATAAAAAGTCCTATTCTGTCACACTTGGTCGATACTGGACGTGACATCGACGCCAACACAGCCTTCAGAATTATATGCTGAATTCTGAAGGCGCTATCACACACAATTCGCCTTCGATTCTTATACATAGCTGAAGCTATGACAATAAGATCGACTAAACCGTACCTGTGTATCCAGAAAGAACACCTTCAAGCGCAGTTCCTACCATAGCCGGACTTGGAATGAAGTCCCTTCTTTTTCCTCTCTTCAAGTCTTCCTCTTCCACTTATCCTTTTTTCTTACCTCTTCAGCTAAAAATTCAACTTTTACAAGATGATCTGTACAAGGTGCTACCTCATCTTCTCAGGTTGGTGCGTCTTCAGTTGCAAAGCACAGATAGCTAAGACAGTTGCCATTAGGATTTTCCAACCCTTCGCTCAACAACTTAGAATAGTTATCTCCCCCAGTGACACCGGATAACACTAAATATTATCTTATAATATTTGCAATGCTAACCGCATTATCAATATCATGCTGTGCTGTATTATTATTATTGTATCCTTTAGTTCCTAGAGGAACATAGGGCTTCAGCTGCGCACCTCCATTGACTTCGGTTTTCTGACAACTTTTTCACCCTGCTCCAAGTCTGCCCACATGCTTTCATCTCCTCTTCACATGACCTCCTCCAAGTCACCCTTGGACGACCAACTCGCCGCCTCCCTTTCGGGTTCCACTCGAGGGCTTGTCTAGTGATGTCACTTGATGGTTTCCTCAGCGTATGGCCAATCCATCTCCATTTCTTTCTGCCTATTTGTTTCACAATCGGTTCCTGATTGGTTCGCTGCCAGAGATCCCTGTTGCTGATCTTTTCTGGCCATCTGATCTTGAGTATTGAGCGGAGACAGTTGTTAATGAAGGTTTGAAGTTTGTTTGAGATGCTCTTTATGACTCGCCAAGTCTCTGATCCGTATAGTAGCACTGACTTCACATTGGAGTTGAAAATCCGGATCTTATTTTTGATGCTGATTGCTGTTGACCTCCACACAGATTTGAGAGTAATGAAAGCTTGTCTTGCTTTTCCGATTCTGGCTTTGATGTCTTCGTCAGTTCCGCCTGTAGTTGAGACGATGCTTCCCAGGTAGGTGAAGGAGGTTGTTTCTTTCAGGTTCTTCCCATTTATGCTTATTGTGGTCTGTTGTTGCTGTTGATGTTGGCAAGGAATCTTCATCATCTCTGTTTTATCTATGTTCACGTGAAGTCCTATCTTTGATGCTTCTTCTGCCAACTTGTTACTTTTCACTTGCATATCTTCCAGTTTGTGGGAAATCAGACATATATCATCGGCGAAATCCAGATCCTCCAAGTCTTTTGTGTCAGTCCATTTTATGCCTGTTCCCTTGTTGGTTGCCGTTGTCTGTCGCATTATCCAATCAATTGCAATCAGGAAGATCATTGGTGATAGTAGACAGCCTGTAGTTGCACATTTTATTCTCGCCTTCATAATTTATCATCATCATGGTTATAATATTATCTAATTGTTATGTGACAGTAGTTATTTTCCCCTCTACCCCTAGTATTATGCATACCGTTTATATACACTCACCGCTGCCTAGATTATATAAACACTTATTAGTACTATTATGATCACTTCGATTGTTATCCATTAATTCACACCTCTGGTCCTAAATTTTATTGGCCACACTAATTCAAATGCCCATGACTAATATTTCATCATTATACAAGTGCAATGCCTGATGAGAATTTACCGAAAATACCTATTTGCTGGCTTAAATCGTGTTCTATAAGAATATTACCAATATTACACTGTATAATTGTGATAACCTCAAGAGGAATTCTCAAATAGACCATTCCTCGTTCAAATTGAGATACTTATTTACTCATCTGGACAATCAATCACACTGGGAAACAAACAATACTCACTCACTCACTCACTCAGTGTGAGTGTTACTCACCAGATTATTGGACTACTATACCAACTTACAATCCAGAACAATACAATACCACAATTACAACGATCCTATACTTTAGATAGGCTTGTAACCACCACCACATGAGTTTCTACCCTTCCAAATGCAAATCCATCTGTGAAGACTCGACTATTTGCTAAAGCATACACTTCAAATTGATTGTACACAACAACATCTTCCTAAGTCATCTGCATTCTCAAAAGGCATAGGAGAATTATCAGCGAACCAGTAGTATTTCGACACACTCATTCTCTACTGCAGTCTACTAACGCGTTGGTCGGTTAATTTCCCTCGACAATTCAAAGAGGAGAAAAGTGTTCCTATCGACGTAGTCATCTGAGAAAGTCTGCACAATCGCATTTATATTTACCAACATCCATCCGTATAACAGACTTTCTATCATCAAGTAATACAGGTGGTGTGGAGTGAAAGCAATCATATAATTCATATTATTACACCAAAGTAACATCCAAATGAATAGTTAAAATTTATAAATAACCTTACAATAAACGGGACAACCGATAAGAAAAACGTCTTGACATTTGATTATAAGGTGAAAATTGTTATTCGATGAGAAGTAAGGCGGTAGCTCGGGGAGGAGGAGAACAATTCAGTGAAGTGTAAACAAGGAACACATGAATGAGTGGAGACAGTCAATTTATAAATTACTTTTAAGTACTGGTTCTATCCCGAATCCTTTTCGATTGGTCGGTTGGAGCATTTCATCATCATCAACATCAGTTGACATGAAGTAGAGAAGCATTGGAGAACCTGGGAGTACTGGACGGCTGCCGAAGAGTCCCGAAATGGGACGAAACAGCTGTCTCGCAGTACTACCTGTCGAATTTTCAATGGTCCTCTAACTGATGTCAGCTCATGATGAAATCCGCCAACCAGCCAATTAATTGATTATAAAAACAGAAGTGAACGAACAATTTGGAAGATTCCTAATTGTTAGTTAGTTAGATCTACGTCAAAAACCAATACCACAGATTATTGAAACCCGACAGGAGGTACTGGATAGTCGTTTCTGTCATCCTAATATGATACTATTCAGTAGTGCGAACTCACGACTGTTTGAAGGACCGAGCCATGAACCTTCACGTTAGGAGTCCAAGCAGGTTTACAAAACAGCTGTCCAACACTCCCTACCTTTCAATAACCCCTCAAATCATGTTTGTTCCTGATACGAATATAAGAATTGAAATTAATCCTAAAGCAACTAGGAACGAAGAACCAAACACTAGAATAGAATAAGAGACTCAACAAACTCTTTTAGCATTCAGGCTTCGGCGTTAACTTGATAAATCGGGAGCGTCTTCGCCATATATAAAATACACATTAAACTCTTCTTAAGCAACTTTGTGGCCTCAATCACAATATAGAGATAAATTCATCCGAATCTCTTATTCGTCCGTGGTCTTCACCTCACTCGCAGTCGCCTCCAAGTCCGCACTGTGTGAAGTCCCAAATTGGGACAAAACAG